TAGAATGGTTAAAATATATTGAGGCTACATATTGACAAGGGATTAGTATTCAGAATATATCAGCACTCAAAAAACTCAACAACAATAAAAAAACAACAATAAAAAAAATAGATCCAGCTAAGAAATGGACAGAAGACCACAATAGACTGTTCTCAAAAGAAGAACTACAAATGGCCAACCAATATATGGAAAAATGCAGGGAAATGCAAATCAAAACCACAATGAGATATAACCTCTCCCCTGTTAGAATGGCTATATCCAAAAAACAGAGTAATGTGACAGTCTACATTAGTGCAGACAGTGTTGAAAATTTCTTTTAAAAAAACTAGAAATAGACTTGCCATATGATCCAGAAATCCCACTTCTGAAAGACATGAATAGATAACTATTCCACCATGTTTATAACAACTCTGTTCAAAATAGCAAAAAATATGGAATTGAGCAAAGTTCTATCATCAGATGGATGGATAAAGTATGGCATATTTAAATATATAAATATATATGAATATTATTCAGCAATTTGAAAATGAAATTTTACCATTTACATCAAAATGGATGCCACTGGAGAACATTTCTTGAATGAAATGAGCTGGACACACACAAATGGTACATGTTCTCCATTCTATATGGGAGCCAAAATTAAAAAAGAAAAAAAATCAGAAAACAAAAATTAATAAATTATATTTTATAGCAGTATTGCTGCAAATATATTTTTCCAAACTTTGTTTAATATCTTTGTAAACTGATGTTTAAGAATTAAACATTACTGTAAGTTCAATGATCTGTGATTATTTCAAAATTTACCTTATATGAGTGAAATGGCCATGTTTTCATTTGATTGTGGTTTGTAGTCTTTGATTTGTCTATTCTATTTTTTACTAGTTGAGCTCTTTATTTATTGGGGCATAAAGCCTTTGACTATAGTGTAAATTTAAAATGTGTTCTCTAAAATATTTAAAAAATAGAATAAGGAAAGAGAGGAGAAGAGAGAAAGGAAGGGAGGGAGAGAGGGAAGAGGGAAGAGAGAGAGAGGAAGGAATGAAGTATTATATTCTTAGAAATTTATATAAAAACTATATGGAATCTGTTCTCTTTGCATTAATATCACATTAGCATGAGAATTGTGTTATAGTAAATATCATGCATTTTCTGTGACCTTGAGAATTTAATGTATTAATAAATTCCTTTAAATAAATAATAGTTTAGCTGTATATAGGAAAATAAAATTCCATTCACAACAGCAACAATAAAAAAACTAATTTCCAAATTTCTACAATATCCCATAAAAATTTGCAAGACATAATACTGAAATCTATGAAACATTTTTGCAAGTTTATTAAAGACATAAATCATGGTCATGGATTGAAGGAACATTTTGAACCTCTAAATTCTCCCAAATAAATCCATAAATTCAATTTATCATTATCTTAAAATGTATTCTGTCTTAGCTTCCACCATCACAGAAAAACATGCTATACTTGTGTTTTGTGGTCTGCTTATTTCACTGATCATAGTGGTTTCCAGTTGCATCCATTTTGTTGCAAAAGACAGACTTTTATTCTTTTTTAAGACTTAGTAGTATTCCAGTGTGTGTGTGTGTGTGTGTGTACACCACATTTCTTGCCTAGTCATTAGTTGAAAGACATCTGGGTTGATTACATATTTAGCTATTGTGAACTGAGTTACTCTGAACATGGGGGAACAGGTAAATCTTTCACATGCTGATTTCATTTCTTTGGGTATATTCCCAGGAGTAGGATGGCTGAGTCATATGGTAGATCTGTTTTCAAATTCCTGAGGAATTCCCATACAACTGTCTTCCATGGTGGCTGTACCAGTTTACATTACCAACAAAAGTATATTAGGGTACCTTTTTCTCTACATCATCACCAGCATTTGCTATTTTACTCATTTTTGGATGATAGCCTTTCTGACTGCAGTGAGGTAAAACCTCATGGTAGTTTTTATTTATATTTCCCTGATGGCTAGTGGTCCTGAGCATTTTCTCTTGTGTCTGTTGACCATTTGTATGTCATCTTTTGAAAAATGCCTGTTTATGTCCTTTCCCCTTTTCTTAACTGGATTGTTTTGTTGTTGCATTTCTTGAGCTCCTTACATATTCTGGATATTGATCCTTTGTCACTTGTATGGTTTGCAGATATTTTCTCCCATTCTGTTGGTTGCTTCTTCACTTTGTTGAGTGTTTGCTGTGCAGAATCTCTTAACGTGTTGTAATCCCATTTGCCTGTAGTGCCAGCATCCCATATGGGTGCCAGTTCTAGTCCTGGCTTCTCCTCTTCCAATCCAGTTCTCTGCTATGGCTTGGGAAAGCAGTAGACGATGGCCCAAGTTCTTGGGTCTCTGCACCCGAGTGGGAGATCTGGAAGAAGCTCCTGGCTCCTGGCTTTGGATCAGCACAGCTATGGCTGTTGCAGCCACCTGGGGAGTGCGAGTGAACCAGTGGATGGAAGACCTTTCTCTCTGTCTCCCCCTCTCTCTGTCTGTAACTCTACCTCTTAAATAAATAAATAAAAATTTTAAAAATAAAAAAAAAATAAAGACATAAATCATGGTCATGGATTGAAGGAACATTTTGAACCTCTAAATTCTCCCAAATAAATCCATAAATTCAAATAAATCTGATTTACAATCTCAGAAATTTTGGAGATTGGATTTACAGCTGGCATTCTTATTTTTTAAATGCAAAAGTTACTGAATAGCCAATACAACTTCTAAGTAAAACAAAGATGAAATATGCCTGTATCAGATTTTAAATGTATCATAAAGATTGATGATCTTGGTGACACAGCAGCAGAAAGTATTGACAATTAAATCCATGAAGAAAACAAATTGCAGAAGTCTCTCAACGACTTCTAGGAGAATATCAAACTGTTTATTACATGTAATTGGACTCCCAGTAAAAGATTGCTGTGGAGGAGAAGATAAATTGTTTGAAGAAAAAGGATCTACTTTATTTCAAATCTGAAAAAAAATTCATAAACTCCAAGATTCAAGAACATCAATGAATTCTGTTAAAAAGTAAAAGCATAAGACACATAAAGGCACATCATAATCAAATTATTTGAAATCAGTGATAAAAATAAAGTATTAATTCAAGTCAGAGATATAAAGAAACATTACATTAAAAAAGAGATAGATAAGAATGACAATAGAATTCTCATTAGAAAACCTATAAGCAGACATCAGCTCACATATTTAAAGTAATAACAGAAAAAGTACATGAAATTATAATCGTATTCAATAAATATCTCTCTTACATGATGTAAGAATCTTATTCAGGAATGAAGAGCTGAGAGAATTTATTGTGAGGAAACTTCCACAACAAAAAAATGACAAAAGCAGTTCTGTAGAGAGCAAATAATACAAAATGGTAAATTTGACTTATGTAAAAGCATAAAGATTTCCAAGAAGGCAATCATTGGGTCAATCTATAAAAGGTTTTCTTTCATTTTAAGATGCTTGAAAGATAATAACTATATGCAGTCAGCATATTGCTAATATAATCTTGCATACATTACATATATAAAATTGAAATACATGGCAACAAAAAACTAATATATGAAATGGAAGAAATAAGAGTCTACCATTATAATTTTCTATTATCTATATATTTTTTTATTTGACAGGTAGAGTTACAGACACTGAGAAAGAGAGACATAGAGAAAGGTCTTCCCTCCATTGGTTCACCCTCCCAAATGGCCACTATGGCTGGTGCTGTGCTGATCCAAAGCCAGGAGCCAGGTGGTTCTTCCTGGTCTCCCACATGAGTGCAGGGGCCCAAGCACCTGGGCCATTCTCCACTGCCCTCCCGGGCCACAACAGAGAGCTGGACTGGAAGAGGAGCAATGGAGTCTAAAACCCGGTGCCCATATGGGATGCCAGTGCCACAGGCAGATTAACCAAGTGAGCCAGGGCACTGGCCCTATCTATTATTGTTATAAGTGATAACATTATGATGCATATTTCAAATCCTAGAGGAATCACTAGAAGCAACAAAACCAAGAGGTGTATGGCTCAATAGCAGAAAAAATTAAATCACAAACATATTGAACTAATTCAAAATGGAAAGAAAACATACCAAAAATCTAAATAAGTCATGCAAAAAAAATTGTAACAGGATCTACTCCTATTCCCACACTTCCCCCACATGGAACTGTATATATATCTCCATGTGACCAAAGAGCTCTGTTGAGCTGTCCTAACTACACCCACTTACTTGTACCAGGGAAGAATAACAGACTAACCATGGTTATTTAACAAAAGCATTGCCTTCCTGCTACATTAAGTGAATTTTTTAATCTCAAATGTCAAGATACCTTTGGTGAAAGTATTTGACCTCTCTAATAGAAACTCCACTGGCAGGTTTCTGACAACTAGATGCTGCCCCAGACCATACGTCAATGCCTGGTGGTTTTGTACAACCTGATCAAATTCAGAATGACTTCTAGTAAACCAGTGCAGAGGAGTTACTGCATTGGTAACTACATCTGCCAGTATCCAAACACCTGCATACACGGTGCTTATTTGCTAGTCATCCAACAGAAACCGTGCTTTGTTCCATACATCCGTGGAATATATATATATACATACATACATATATATATATATATATAAACGCAACAGAAAGTTATTCTTAGAAATTTTACTGATGAGTTTGGTTCTCATATCTCAGCTACTTTGATCACCTTATCTCACTTTGTGAGGAAAGGAGGGAGGGAGGGAGGGAGGGAGGGAAGGAGGGAGGAAGGGAGGAAGGAAGAAAGAGGGAGATAGTGAAGGAGAGAGGGAGGGTAGCAGGGAGGGAGGGAAGGGGGACAGAGGGAGGAAGCAATCATATTCTTGTATCTATAAACTAAATGGAATCTGTTGTCTTTGTATTAATATCATGTTAACATGAGAATTCATGAGAATTGTGTTGTGATAATTATGTATTTTCTGTGATCCTGAAAATCTATTGTATTAATCAATTCCATAAAACATTTTTTAAGATTAATTCATTTATTTGAAAGTCAGAATTACACAGAAGAGGAGAGGCAGTGAGATCTTCCATCCGCTGGATCACTCCCTAATTGGCTGCATTGGCTGGAGCTGTGCTGATCCGAAGCCAAGAGCCAGGAGCTTCCTCCGGGTCTCCCACATGGGTGCAGAGGCCCAAGGACCTGGGCCATCTTTCACTGCTCTCCCAGGCCATGGCAGAAAGCTGCATTGGAAGTGGAGCAGCCGGGACTAGAACTGGCGCCCATATGGGATGCCGGCACTGCAGGTGGCAGTTCTACCTGCTATGCCATAGTGCCAGCCCCCTTGATATATTTTAAAGAAAAATAGTACATGGTTTTCAAATGTTTTACAGATATTTTAATTTCAATTACATGAACTTTTGAATATATGAATGTCCTTCCCCAGTGATGAAAAAATGTGCCAGAATTTATTCTGAAGTTTGGATATAAAAAGAAAGCACTGGCTAAATCTGCAATAGCTTCCAGCCACATGTAGTTCACTGCTTTCTGTGGGGCAGGTACATGATGAATTGGTCTGTGTGCTTCCAGATTCAAGGAGCTGACACCAGTGCCCACGTTCTTCTCATTTTAGGGATTCAGCCCTTCCTCATCCTTGAATGGAAGGAGATGTTCAGAGAGGAAATGAAAGAAGTAGCAAAAGTGCTGACATGAAACACACAGTAGAGTGCATAGAAACAAAGTGAGTGAAGATTTTCAAAGAACGGTATGTTATACATTTCATATTATACAATTCCAGACAGAAAGGGAGAGACAGAGTTTACTCCCCAAATGGCTGCAACAGCTGACCCAAAGCCAGGAGCCAGGAACTCCATCCTAATTTTCCATGTGGGTGGCAGGGGTCCAAGTACTTGGGTCATCTTCCATTGCTTTCCCAGGTGCATTAGCAAGCAGTGAGCTGGATAAGAAGCAGAGTAGTCAGGTTTGGAACCAGTGCTCAGATAAGGGATGCCAGCCTCACAGGTGGCAGCTTAATGCTTCTGTACCACAATTCTGGGCCCTCAACTTGATTGTAGTATTTCTTCCATGTCTTAGCTTCATTCACCACTGTCAGCCACTGACATGCAAGGAGCTACTGACTTGTGTTGACTCCTTGCCAATCTCAGCCTCCCAAATTTGTCACATGATTACCGCTGACTTTTTCTTAAGTGCCTAAGATCTCATTGGCACTAATTGTGGTATTGTAGTACTGGAAGAGTTTTGCATTAAGAAATGGTTTGACAATGATAGTTAATGGCTCTGTACTGGGGCCAAGACTTTTTATTTTTAGATTTATTTATTTTATTGGAAAGGCAGAGTTACAGAGAGGCAGAGGCAGAAAGAAAGCCTTCCATTTGCTGCTTCACTCCCCAGATGGCTGCAACGGCAAGAGATGCACTGATACAAAGCCAGGAGTCAGGAGCCTCTTCCGGGTCTCCCATGTGGGTGCAGGGGCCAAGGACTTGGGCCATCTTCCACTGCTTTCCCAGGCCATAGCAGAGAGCTGGATTGGAAGTGGAGCAGCCAAGACTTGAACTGGCGCCTATATGGGATGCTGGCGCTGCATGTGGTGCCTTTACCCACTAAGCTCATCGCTGGCCCAGGGGCCAAGACTATTAAAAAGGGTAGAAACATCTTATCAGTTACTAGAGGGCAGCATTTTGAGTTTCTACATCTATGCTGATCAAAACTCTGGCATTTCCAAAACCACGCCAGACTGTCAAAAACTGTTGTCTTCTCAACTGAAACACTGCCAGGCAAGTGAAAGAAGAGTAATGTAAATCAGAGATATAGATATAAAGAACAGTACCAAAAACAGGAAAGTAACTATTTTCATAGAAATGGCTGAAAAGCACATGAAACAATGAATAAAATAGGAAAGTAGTTGCCAACGGTAAAAGCAAACAGAACAAAACAAACCAAATACTGTAGCTATGAGGGTCTTCGGAAAGTCACAGATGATAAACATCAATTCAAATATTAGTTCTTTGATTTTCACCCATTTAATTTCCTGTTCTGAGGCTTGTATACTTTTAAAGAAATCATTGCTTAAGTTTTTACTATAGATTTTCCCTTAGCCAACTAAAATACTGCTTTTCTACTCTATATCCAGTTTTAAATCCATTATAGGAAAGAGCCCCATGGAATCCATCCTCTATGTGGTTATGTGTCACTTGCACACCAGCATTACGGAGTCGGGTGACATACATGACCCCATCATCTCTCAGCACGTCATACTGACAGGTCACAATATAGGTGAGGGGTAAGCCACGCAACTGGGCGTCATCAGCCAGAAGGGGTGCTGCCCTCACATCCAGGAACCCGGGATATTTTTTGGCCAGTTCAGAACTACCATAGGTTGGAGTGTTATAGACATGTCCTTTCTTAAATTTATCAGGGAGCAAGGAGCTCCAATTAGTGAATTTGAACAGGTGGCTCGATTCCACTGGGACGTGCTGATTGAGAAGCATGGCTTTTTCGAATGATCCATCTGTGGTAAAGTATTCACTCCAGAGCCTGACCATGAATGATTTGGGCAAAATTGGAAACTGTGCATTTTCCCGATATGATGGTAAATCCATATCGAGAGTCTGAAGAGCAGGATATATTAAAGACTGGGTCTTGAGTTTGATCTTGACATCTGGGTCTTTGATGAGCTGAAAAACAAATTTTAAAACAAACTGGTTGAATAAAAAATTTTCATTTAGAAATTATATTTTCATTTAAATTCAATATATTTATATGAACTTCACCATCTTAAAAAGGTTACCAGAAATCGCAAAAATACATTCCAACAAACTTTCCAGTTTTCAATATCACAGATGTCTGTAGTCCCATGCTGTGAATGCACGCAAAATGATTTGCAAAACTTTCCTTATAGGTAGGGAGACAGGCCAATTCCTTTGTGATTAGGAAGCAAAAATCTCTATTTTTAAAATTAAGAATAGCCACAGAGAAATATTGTTTTCCTTTTATAAAGAAAAATATACATATACATATATATTTTTTTTTGACAGGTAGAGTTATAGACAGTGAGAGAGAGAGACGGAGAGAAAGGTCTTGCTTCCGTTGGTTCACTCCCTTAATGGCTGCTACTGCCAGCGCGCTGGGTCTATCTGAAGCCAGGAGCCAGGTGCTTCCTCCTGGTCTCCCATGCAGGGGTAGGGACCCAAGCACCTGGGCCATCTCCGCTGCCTTTCCGGGCCACAGCAGAGAGCTGGACTGGAAGAACAGCAACCAGGACTAGTACCCGGCGCCCCAACCAGGACTAGAATCCAGGGTGCCGGTGCCGCAGGAGGAGGATCAGCCAAGCGAGCCATGGTGCCAGCCTCATATACATATATTATTATATCCAAAACATTGGATTTAGGGGAGAAACACAAACCTAGGAATTCTAATTTCTCACACTGAACTGAGGAATCCCAGGAGAGCCAAAGAGTTTCTCTATGGTAATATGTTGATCAGATTGATTTTTGCTTTAAGCAATGCACTTTGTGTTCATTCTTTTGCTTTGTTCTGCCATCACTTATTGAAATATCTCCACATTTTCTGTAGGACAGGGCTGCTCCATTTCCGATCCAGCTCTCTGCTATGGCATGGAAAAGCAGTGGAAGATGGCCCAAATTTTTGGGCATTTGCACCCATGAGGGAGACCAGGAAAAAGTTCCTGGCTCCTGGCTTCAGATCAGTCCAGCTCTGGCCATAGTTGCCATTTGGGGAGTGAACCAGCAGATGGGAGACATTCTCTCTCTCTCTCTCTCTGTAACTCTGACTTTCAAATTAAATAAATAAATCTTAAAAAAATAAAGGTATCTGTACTCCCCTGTTTATTGCCATTGCTGCTCACAATAGCCAAGATATGGATTTGAGTTTCCCTTGATGGGCAAATGCAATAGAATATTATTCAGTTATAAAAAGAATGAAATTATGTCATTTGCAGAAAATAGATGAAACTGGATATCATTATGTTACATGAAATAAGCCATAGATAAAAATACAAGTATCACAGTCCTCCAAAGAAAAAGGCAATCTCAACTTAGAAGTGGTCACCAGAGGCTAGAGAGTAGGAGTGGGGGAACATAGAGAGATTAGACAATGTCTACAACACATTAAGAAAGAAATAATAAGTTATAGTGTTTGCCAGCATGGTGGGGTGACTCTAGTTCACTAGAATGTGTTATTTGAGGAACTAGAAGAGAGATACCCCTGGGTTCCAAATAAAGAGAAAAAATAAGGAAATGAACATGCTAATCATTTGATTTGATCAATTCATATGAATGCATGTATTGAAATATCACAGAGTTCTCATGAAAATGTACCAGTATTACATGTTAATCAAAACTTTAAAATATTACATATTAGTGAGTTCCAATAATAAGATCTCTTAGTTTAATTTTATCTCAGTGTGTCTTTAACTCTCCTTTATTCTTAAATAATATTTTACAGGGCTTAACATTAGGTTGCTAATCATTTTTGTACTGTATTTTGAAAATATCATTCTACCAGCTGACAGCTCACATTCTCACTCTTTTCTAAAAACATCTCTTTATTTAGTTGGAAGTCAGTTACTGTCGCTCCCCCTCTTTGTGGAGGAACGACACAGGACCCTGTGCTGTTCTTTTGTCTGCTCGGCCCTCCCCGGGTTTGCTGCTGGTTCTTCCCGGGTTGGCTACCGTCCCTTCCACCTCCGTGGAAGGGCGGTTCCCCCTGGCCACTTTCCCCACTTCCGCAGGGGAGCGGCACACCGCCGGCCGGCTCTCTCGGGGGCTGCACAGGTGTTCCTTCAGATAGATGTTCCTGGTGCATGTTGTCTCTCTCCTCCTTTATAGTCCTCTTCCGCCAATCCCAACTCGGCTGCCCACATGCCGAGTACGCTGCTCTCCTCCAATCAGGAGCAGGTCCTGCTGTTTATTGGTTGAACTGGAGGCAGCTGTGTAGAAGCTGTTTTCTCCTCTCCCAGCGCCATATTGTGGGAGAGCAGATGCATAGAATAAGTCTTAATTCCAGTAACTTAGTCTAGTCCGAGTTGCTCCCCACAAGTTACAGAGAGAAGGAAAACATACAGAGAGAGGTCTTCTATCAGCTGATTTACTCCCCAAGTGGCCGGGAACTTCATCTGGGTTTGCAAATGGGTGTCAAGATTCCAAGCACCTCTGCCATCTTTTTGCTGTTTTTCCCAGGCCATTAGCAGAGACCTGGATTGAAAGTGCAGCAGCTGGGACATGAACTGGTGCCCAGATGTAATGCCAGTGTCACATGTGACATTTTACCTACTACACCACAACACTAGCCCCTACCCTACATTACTCTTTTTTTTTTTTTTTTTTTTTTTTAGGCAGAGTGGACAGTGAGAGAGAGAGAGAGAGAAAGGTCTTCCTTTGCCATTGGTTCACTCTCCAATGGCCACCGCGGCCAGCGCGCCCAAGGACTTGGGCCATCCTCCACTGCACTCCCGGGCCACAGCAGAGAGCTGGCCTGGAAGAGGGGCAACCGGGACAGAATCTGGAGCCCCGACCAGGACTAGAACTCGGTGTGCCGGTGCCGCATGGCGGAAGATTAGCCTAGTGTGCCGTGGCGCCGGCCCCTACATTACTCTTAAAAAGTATGTTGTAAGCATAACTGGTGGTTCACTCTGTGATTGTTTTAAGAGTTTTTGAATTTATCTTTGTTTCAGCTTGCTATGTGTATATCTTCATTTTTGCTTTGCTGAGTCTATATGTGTATTTCATTACTTATTTTTAGCCTTTCAAAAATGATGTTTAGTTTTCACAGGCTTTCTGTAGTTTGATATATTTTGTTGATTATGTAAAATACTCAACTTAATTATTAAATATCCCTTTCTCCCAGTGTAGTTCTTATATAAAATTTAAGACATGATTGGATTATTATAATCTGTTTTCTACACTTCTTATATTCTCTTCCATATTTTTTGGATCTCTGTCTTTCATTTTACCTATTGATGTATTAGTTAACAAGACTCATCCTTCTCATGTTTAAATTTAGAAATAATCTAGCTCTTAAGTAATATTGTTTACTCCATTCTTAAAAGTCTTTTTTATTTCTTAGCTTTAGAATATTTGTTTATTTTCCAAAACTCTATTGTTCTGCTGAAATTTATAATCTTGAATGTAAATTCATCGAAGCAAGCTGGATAGTTATTTTGTGTTCCGTAGGTGATAAGTTTAATCCATGAATTTTGTGGGAATTTCTGTTGGTTCTTCTTGCTCTTCTTCATCATTTCTTGTGCAATATTTTGCCTACATCTATTTGACAGTGTATTAGACAATGAATTTCAATAAATATCTATAGGAATAATTTAAAATCTGTGATAATGCTCTATTTCTCCAGATAAGATGCTTAAACATTTTGATCAAACACAAGGCAATAATAACAACCCAAATCATCTTAATTTAAATTCAATGTCTGAGGCTTCACTGACCAAGCAAATGGTATAAAGCAAAACTTCCTGTGCACAGGAATCTAGTTTCACATCAGTTTCACCCTGATCTGACAGTTTATACCTTCATGAGCTCATTTAAGGAGAGGCGTGGTTATAAGCATATTTCTATCTGAAAGAAGTTCCACATTCACCTTATTTGTATAGTCTACTTTTGTTTAGCATGTACCATTAGTTAGAGAGAGAATATTGAGTGCTGGGTTTATTTTTATGATTCCCTTTTTTTTACTATAACAAACAGTATATTTTTTTCTTGATCCTACTATATGTTCTTTATTTTTGAATTCTTGATTAACACTTACCACTTTTACACTTCTGAGCAGGACAGTACAATATCTCAACACAGAAAAACAGTGCAAACTGATAAATCAGAAAATAAATGTTTCCATTTCCTTATCTTTTACTGACGGAGTTTGTCATTTTTAAAATTTCTGTGCTAGAAATTTCCTATATGTTGTTGACTCTTCAAAGTCTATAGACTATTATAAGATATTTTGTTCAAGTGTTTTAAAATTATTGGTCAGAATTAGCTGGTTTTTAAAGAATTATTTATTTGAAACCTAGGGTGATGCAGATGGAGACAGAGAGAGAGAGTGAGAGAAACAGGGAGAGAGAATGACTCTCCCAAATGCTAACTTACTCCCCACATGCCTGCAACAGTGCTAGACAAAGCTAAAGCCAGGAACCAGGAACTCCATCCCAGTCTCCCACATGGGTGACAGATTCTCAAGTATTTGGCCCATTACATTAGCAGAAAGCTGGATCAGGCGTGTCGAGAGCTGGAACTCCCTGGAACAACATTCTGGTATGGGGTGCGAGTGTTGCAAGCAGTGGATTAACTTGTTGGCCACAACACCCACCCTTTTTGTTTATATAGAAGCCTGAATTACATAAGAGGAAGGGCTTATTATGCAACATAGCAACAAGAAATTAATGTTTAAGGACATTGTGTGGCTTGTCCGAGTCTGTGGCTGAACATGGCTTCAGCTCCAAATATCAATGTGTTCTGATATGTTCTTGGTCGGGCATAAAGATACTTCTCAAGGAAACAATAAGTAGACTATGTAGAACTCATTGTTTAGGAGGTAGCATATATCTGTTTATAGTATATTACAAAAAATCTCAGAATTTGTAACTTGCCTTTGGCTATAAATAAGAAATCTATCTTAATAGTAAAATAGTAAAAGGTTATAGATTTAAAAATTCATAATAAAAATAAATACTAAAATCATCACTATTTGTTTATGGCACAAAATTTCATGTGCCATAGTTATGATAGACTCAGATATTAAACTGCAGAAATCAATTTTCAAAGGAGCATCACTTCTAAAATATTAATGCTGGGTTTGTTTTTTAGCAGGTAACTAGTTTCAAAAATTTTACCCATATTCTAGTAGGTTAATTTTTTTTTTTTTTTACAGATAGAGTTAGATAGTGAGAGATAAAGACACAAAGGTCTTCCTTCCGTTGGTTCACCCCCAGATGATTGTTAGGGCCAGAGATATGCCGATCCGAGGTCTAGGAGCCAGGTGCTTCCTCCTGGTCTCCCATGCGGGTGCAGGGCCCAAGCACTTGGGCCATCCTCCACTGCATTCCCGGGCAACAGCAGAGACCTAGACTGGAAGAGGATCAACCAGGACTAGAACCGGCGCCCATATGGGATGCCGGTGCCGCAGGTGGAGGATTAACCAAGTGAGCCACAGCATCAGCCCTAATCTAGTAGGCTAATTAAAACTGTGTAATACTTCAAATTGACAGTTAATATACATATAGTTTTAGTGAAAAGAGATAGAAATTTATGAATAATTAACACCTAAGAAGTGTAATTCTGTCTGCAAATAAATAGTATCTATGAACCTATTATCATTTTTAGGTGCACAATTTGATTATTCTGAAAACAAAAGTCTTCATGCAAGTTTTAGTATACTCCACTGAAAAATACTGGAATAATCCAGTTCTTCAGTTATGGTAATTTAGTAAGGTAACTGATTTCACAAAACAGATTGGTTACTAACGGATCATAATAATCATGTTTAACCCAATGTTATAAAAATGTATTTTATTACTTTTTTTTTGACAGGCAGAGTGAACAGTGAGAGAGAGAGACAGAGAGAAAGGTCTTCCTTTTCCATTGGTTCACCCCACAATGGCTGCCATGGCCAGCGTGCTGTGGCCAGCACACCTCACTGATCTGAAGCCAGGAGCCAGGTGCCTCTCCTGGTCTCCCATGCTGGTGCAGGACCCAAGGACTTGGGCCATTCTCCACTGCACTCCTGGGCCACAGCAGAGAGCTGAACTGGAAGAGGAGCAACCGGGACAGAATCCGGCACCCCGACCGGGAGTAGAACCCGGGGTGACGGTGCCGCAGGCAGAGGATTAGCCTAGTGAGCCACCGCGCTGGCCTGTATTTTATTACTTTATAAAAATAATTTTAAAAATCTGATGTGAGAAAATAATAAAAGCACTATGGGCTTAAATGTTCTGAGATTTCAAACTTGATGTATCCCTAATATCTAATATATCAAAATATCTGCATATTTACTTTGGTATAGTTATGTCTGAAATAAGTATATTTATGTGAGGATTTTTAAAATAAAATAAAGCTGAGCATCATACCTCCTGAGCCACTGCTGCAGCTAAATTCCCACCAGCACTGTCTCCAGAAACACCAACTCTCTCAGGATCTACTCCATATTTTTCAAGAACATCTTGGCGTAAGAACCACTTTAGTGCATCGTAGACATCTTCAAACTGAATTGGAAAATGATATTCAGGTGCTAGTCTGTAGCTGTGGAAAGAATAATAATTTAAGCCAATTATTTTAATAAATAATACATGCGCAAGGCTTGCTGTAAATTTTAAAAAACAGTGTTTTCATCTGGAAAACTTGATTACTTGGATAATTACAAATTCAAAGACACAATTCTTCCTGATGAGAAGCTTTTTAAATTTCATTTTGCACAAAGAAACTCTTGAATGTAGAATCTGGATGAAGCTTAGAGGAAAAGAGGGTGTCAAGTATCCCTCAATAACCTTCTCCCAGAATGATATTTCCCATAATTATTATATTAGGGGTAACCAATAAATAGCAAAGAGTAGGAATTATTCTGTTTGAACTTAATCTAATGTGGCCACTACTTTGTTTTTCTTATAATTTTTTCATTTTTCTACTCATTCCTGTAGGGTTTATTTTCTATTATTAATTATTGATCTAGAGATTTTTGCCCATTTTATTATGTGTAATTTGTTGAATGATTAATCTTAATGGAGAATTCTACTAAGTCATACATGGAACTAACTTCTTCAAATCTATTTTTATCATCTAATCCCCAAAACAATCATATTAGTCAGAAAATCGTGTGATATCCTCAGTTTAAATAAGAAGAAATTCAACTAAAAAGCTAGAATGCCACTTGCACATAGTCACAGATTTAATTCTAGAGCCAGGATTTGAAATGATTTCTTTGAATCTGAAGCTCTCGTGCTTATTCAATTGTTAATGAAATCTATAAATCTATAAACCAGTAGGAGTAATTTGTTATTGAGATGCAATAATTCAATTTTATTTTAATGATTTTTGGAGTTGCTATTTTTTTATTCCCGCTTGATCTAATTTATTTTTTCTGTCTGACTTTGTTCTGGTCATATTTGTGTGCACTTTCTCTGTGTTTACTTTCTCAATTTTATGTGAAATACTCCTGGCATTACCAAAAAATGACCAAGAAAGCTAAGAACATCTAAATTGATAAAGTCATCTGACCAAATAACAAAAAAGGTGACAGTACACTTACTTGGTTGAGACGACGACAGTATCGAGTTGATCAGCTGTCCGTCTTGACAGCAAGTCATAACTAAACCAAGCTGAAATAAAATAAAATGCTATATTTACTGACAAATCGGTTAACACTGACTTCAGTAGAAAGCCAATTAGTGAAATTCTGTGCTCATCAATATATTCTGGCAGAAAATATTTCTATTATTTTGTTGTCATTTATTTGATTGAAAGTGAATGGGGTGGGAGAGAGAGAGATTGTTTTGAATTAGAGTTTGGCATGCGTATAGTTTAAAGGGTTGAGGATGGACCACGCATGTCTACCAATAGGCTTGGGGAATGGTTTCTATCAAAAATGCGAAGTTAAGATGATAAACCAGAATTTGCTAGTAAAGAGTGCTTAAGGGGAGGGATCAGGATATGAGCTTGTCTCAAGTTTCATCTCTAGGCGACAATGCAATGAATAGTAGAGATTATTTCAAAATGTTTTCAAAGTGAGTGCTTAATATTGATGGAAAATTATAAAATCTCATATTCACACTAATCTTAAGTCTTTTTTAACTTCTCTAATAACAAGCCATATTTATATTAAGTATTAAAAATCTGTTTAAAACTTTAAAACAGAAAGTTGAAGGTCATGTTGTTTCAGGGCTCATTATTGTTTAGATCCTTTAGTCTAACAAATACAGGCTTATACTTCAGGGACACTTTGATAAGTTTCTAAATAGGAGTAAAATCAACACTTGAAATGTCATGATTTTTTTTTGTCTTGACTGTTGAGGAACTGTGATTTTTTCTTTGTACTGTTTGTTGAACTCTTTACTTAGTATAGGGTAAATATTATAAGTATAAAGAAACTGAAAATAGATCTTTGTAAAAAAAATAAGACTGGGAATAGGAGAGGGAGGAGGGAGGAGGTTGGGGCATGGCCAGGAGAGAAGGTAGGGTGGGAAATATCAATATATCCCCTCATCTGTATAAAAGAAATACATGAAACTTGTATATCTTAAATAAAATTTAAAAACATTTAAAAATAAATGATTTTTACAACAGAGACCCATGGAAACTAACTGAAGTATGCTAGAGTCAGATTTTGTGTTAAAATCAATACTTCAGGGTCAGATTTTTCTGTTGGAACTTGTGAGATATAGAATCAACCCAAATGTCCATCAACTGATGACTGGATAATGAAAAGGTGGTATATATACATGATGGACTAATACTCAGCCATGAAGAATGAAATCTCTTTTACAACATAGTGGATACAACAGGAGATCAGTATGCTTAGTGAAATAAGCCACTCCTAACAAGACAAATATCATAGTTTTCTCTGATATATGGCAATTAATATAGATTACAACAAATGTATCAGAATTAAATTAATATCTTATGATTAGGTTATTGTTTTTAGCCCTTGTCTATATTCCCACGGTACAGTGGTCTTTCTGCTTTCTACTTGTTTAAAATTATGGTTAGCTGTGCTTTAGCCTATGATTAGAAAGTAAATTGAAATTATATTATTGCAAAAATTAAAAGAATAAAAAAGAAGGAAGGAGGAAATTGAGGGAGGGAGAGAGGGAGAGAGAAAGGGTTGAAAGAAAGGGAGAAAGGGTTGGCTAACTTTGTAGAATTTTATTTATGAAATAAATGAAATCTGTTCTCTTTATATTAAAAATAAATAAATTATAATAAAAAGGGAAATGTCAAGCAGGATCACCTCATTTATTGCTTTAAATTGCTTTCCTGATCTACTTCAATACCCACCAACAAAACCTCTTTTTCTCCTATTACAAAGATATGCCCTCTCCTTATCTCCCCAGGGGATTACAATCGCCCCAATCTTTGCTGAATCCAACCCTCCTCTTCTTAAAGGTCAGACAAAACCCCATTTCTTGCTCCAGCACCCACCCCGTGCATAATTCAAATTATCAAAGTCATTAACATGTTCAGGGAAATTCCATGTACTAATGTTAAAAATGTGTATAGAACATAAAACATATATTAGTATAGAAATAAAATTTATAATTTATATTCTTCAAAGTATAATTATACATTAAATATTACATGTTAGTATGTATGTTAGATATAATTAAATATAAAAATAATTTAAAATAAAAACAAAATATCCTAGTCGACTTCTCTTCCACCTTCCACCTTCTTTCTCATTTTCTTCATATCTAAACTTATCAAAAGACAAGTCGTTGTTTTCTCATATTTCACCCACTGTGCAACTCACTTCATTATGGTTTTCACTGTAACAGTTCACCAAATACATTATTAAAAATAACTTGCTAGGTTCTTGAAGCACTTCTACTTCTTACCTGAGATTTGATACAAATTTTGGCTTTCATTGTTCCCTCTTTTCAGAAAGAGAGTTAAAGTGGTTCCTTTAAACGAATATTATCTCCAAGAAAATAAATTTCATACACCTGAAGCTTTTTATGATCTGTTACATGTGAGTATGACTTGCTATGTGGAAGTCAACACCTCAATAAATTGTGTTCTCAATAATAAACTAAGACTTCGAATAAGGGGCACATACCAGCACTCCCTAGACACCAACCACCACCGTGAATAAAAAATAAGCCCCTTCTGAGCGTCTTCGCCTTTCGTTTTGGGACATACACACGGACAGGAATGTTGTTGAAAGTTGTCTCTGTCACAGTGACATTTTCATCAGATGTGGGTGGAACTTCTTGAAAGCTTGTTAAGAACTTTACAGTGTTCATGAAATCGTTGATTCCCAAGTATTCAGCAAACAGAGCCTTAAATTTAAGAGAGAGGAAGAAAAATCCACTAGGTTACACATACCAAATGCCACTGATATTTGTAACTATGGAAGCATACATATTTGTACCCAATGGTTCTCTTTATTCTCACAAGTGAATATAATGACACAGTTAAAAATACTGGTAGTTTAGTTTTGTTTCTGTAATAGCTGCTTCAAGTGGGGCTGGTATTCTGACATAGCAGGTAAAGCTGCTACCTGCTATGCCAGAATCCCATATGGGAGTTTGTTGATGTCCTGGCTGCTCCACATTCAATCCAGATCCCTGCTAATTACCAAGGACAAGCAATGGTAGACATTTTGAGTGTTAGGGCTCCTGTCACCCATATGGGAGGCTCAGATGAAACTCCTGGCCCTGGCTTTGGCACGGTCCAGTGCTGTCCATTGCTGTCATCTAGGCAGTGAACCAGCAGATGAAGATCTCTGTCTGTCTTTGTAACTGACTTTCAAAATAAATAAATCATTCTTTTAAAAAAGTTGATTCAAGCAAAAATGTTTAACGAAGTTAAATAATAACTTGACAGGTATTACAAGGAAAACAAGATAAGTTCTCTAAAGAAGCCCAGAGTTAGAGAAATGATATACAACTAGTTTACTAAACAACATAACTACATTTCTGATGGTTATGTGTCATTAACTTTAATGGACTTACATAAGGAGATAAAATAGTTTCCTGGAAATGAGATTAGAAGGAGTTTCACACAGTAGGTAGACTCTGACATGAGAACTAAAAGTGAATAGAGTTTGGCCAAACAAAATAGAAAAATCTCATTCTAAGCCAAAGCAATAGTCATGTAAATGGAAACATCCATTTACAACCAGAGAAATGGAGTAGTTTAACAAAGTTATTCAAGTTCATGAAAGTGCATGAAAGATAAGGTACCTAAAAAAGTGAAAATGAGCCAAATCCTAAATGGCTTATAATGTTGGAATTCTGGGAATCAAAAATTTGTTTTCTGTTCTTAAAATGAAAACATGTGGAGTGTAGGCCTAGCTGATTGAACAGTGGGGAAGTGAGGCCGGCAGGTGGGGCTAGGGGTTTATGGGCCCCTCTGACTTCTGTAGCACTATAGTTTCCTATTCTGTATGCATGAGCCTGTAGCTTTAACCACACCTTCAAGCTAGCTACAATCTTCTACCCAGAGTTAACAGGGGAGGGGCCTGAGTCCTCTAAGGGGAATCTGGCTGTCTCCAAGGGATCCCCCACTATTTCCATGGGCTCCAAGCCAATGAGCATACATTAGATGATGCCCCTATCCCATAGGTTCCACATAGGAGGAACCCATGAGAAAAAGCAGCATGAACTTAAAATCTGGTGCACTTTCTGAAAGCCAGTGTCCCATTCCGGAACTCTGTCCTGGCTGCTCTCAGACAAGATACTTTTTCCCTCACCTTGCAACACAGACAATAAAACTATCCGCTTCTTTGCAACTTGCTCTCTGGCTTTTTATTTATATACTAAGATAAGGAAAAGAACTCACAAAACTTGTTCTAGTAACCTCCCTCCTGTACATGACAGTGGTAACAGCCAGTCTCTTACGTATTATATTAATATTAAGTAAGTACAAAAGCGATAAGCAAAGTTGCTCATTTTCAATGCTGAATCAGACCCACTCTGTTCCTTTTGAACGGGAAGTCAGATAATGTGTTTTTCAAAACTCCTTGTCAGTACAATTATAACTTGAATTAAGCCACAATAAGCATTCTTGTAAGATTTGGGGGAGAAAAAGGAAAAAATGTAATTTTCTCTGGACCACTATGATAATTCATATGGACATGCATACATACACGCTTTTAATTATTCTCCTGAGAATTGCTTTGTTAGTAAAGCAAATAGATATAATTATCCATGACTTTCTTTCACTCTTCCTTCTGAAAACATGGTGGGGTTGGCATTGTGAGTTAGCACGCTGTGATTTCACAGGTAATGCCATAGCCTGCAATCCTGGCATCCCATATGAGTGGGCTCCAGTTAGTGTCCCAGAGGCCCCACTTATGATCCAGCTCCCTTCTAATGGCCTGCAAAAAGTAGAAGATGGTCCAAGTGCTTGGGCCCCTACCAAGCACCTGGGAGAACTGGATGAAGCTCCTGGCTCCTGGCTTTGACTTGGCTCAGCCCTGGCTGTTGCAGCCACTTGAGAAGTGAACCAGTAGATGAAAGATTTTTCTGTCTCCCCCCATCCCACTCTGCAAATCTGACTTTCAAATAATCTTTTATAAAAATAAAAAATTGATTTTTAAAAATAAATATTCTATAGCTCTATTTTTATATTCTAAATCTTTTTAAGTGAAGATAACATACATTCATGTCTGTGTCTGACAAAACCATAACTTAGAGAGAATATAGTTCAAGGGTTTGCTGTGCGGTATGGCAGGTGAAGCTGCCGCCTGCAGTGCCGGCATCTCATATGGGCGCTGGTTTGAGTCCCAGATGCTTCCACTTCTGCTATGGCTTGGGAAAGCAGTAGGAGATGGCCCAAGTCCTTGGGCCCCTGTGCCCACGTGGGAGAACTGAAAGAAGCTCCTGGATCGGGCTTCAGATACACACAGCTCTGGCCATTGTGGTCAATTGGGGAGTGAAGCAGTGAATGGAAGACTTTCTCTCTCTGTATCTATCTGCCTCTCCTTCTCTCTCTGTGTAACTCTTTCAAATAAATAAATAAATCTTCTAAAAAACGAAGAGAGAGAATACAGTGCAGAAGGAGTTCTCAGGAAGGAGAATAAGTCATGTGTTGGAATTAGATATATGACATCGTTGGGTTCATAAATAGAAATGTCTATTGTTAATTCAAAATGGAACTCTGTTACGTGTGAACTGTAAGAGTAACACAATTATTATATTTTACACTTGCATTATTCCCTATCAAGTTAGAAAGTTGAGAGACCAAGGAGCAGCTATGGTCAATAAATGGAGTAAATGATTAATTCAAGCAGTGATTGTACTTGAAAAGTTACAGAAAGAAAAATATGATTCTCAGAGTTTTAGGTTTCCATCTTAAATCAGAACTGGTAAAAGAGATAACTGCTACACCTTCCCTGAAAGATGTTTCTTTTTTCCTCTATGTCTTTCTGGAAGTAGAACCAAGGAATGATCTTGTAGACTGTGGAATCACAATGCATGACAAATTCACAGTCCTGGCAGATGTCTTAGTTGAAAGGCAAAGGTTGTCTTGAAGTTCATAACTCATTAACATTCTGAGAAATATATTAAAAACGTTTGCATGGATTCTTGTAATCCAGAACACCCTAAACTTCCATATTTCACCAGACCTCCCTAGCAGAAGCAGCAGCAAACTTTCTCAGCAGTAGAACCATTCAAGGAAGATTAGATGCCAGAAAGTCCCTAATAGTGTATGGGAAGAAATCCAGAGGCCTGGGAGATAGCAATGTTGGCTCTTATTTACTGTTGTAACCCATGATGTAACCCCATGCTGTATTCCAGAATAATAAAATGGTTGTTCTGTAAAACAAGATATTAAGAAATCCACTGAGACAGTCACCTACTGTCAAGAATGACAGTAAGCATAGTGGTGCAGCAGGTTAATGCCCTGGCCTGAAGCGCCGGCATCCCATATAGGCACCAGTGGAGATGCAGCTGCTCTACTTCCGATCCAGCTCTCTGCTATGGCCTGGGAAAGCAGTGGAAGATGGCCCAAGTCGTTGGGCCCCTGCACTCGCGTAGGAGACCTGGAAGAAGCTCCTGGCTTCAGATCAGCGCAGTTCCAGCTGTTGAGGCCAACTGGGAAGTGAACCATCGGATGGAAGACCTCTCTCTCTCTCTCTCTCTCACTCTCTCTCCTCTCTCTGTGTAACTCTGACTTTCAAGTTAAAAAATAAATAAATCTTTAAAAAAAAAAAAGGATGACAGAAGAAAATTCTGGCACCTACATGGGCCTTCTTAGTTTATCGAGGATGATGACATCTCCAAGTGTTGTTTCGTCAGCTAGCATGGTTGAACTGCGAGATGTGTGGTGGATGTATTGATTAAATTGACCAGCAGTGAGAAAGCATAACCTCAAGGATCTCTGATTATGACATGATCATAATGTCAGAGAACTGACAAGGCTGGGCAGCTGACTAAAGTCTGAGTTAATCTGTAGTAAGGCATGATTTCCCAACCGAGTCCCAAAGTAAGAAATTTCACAGATCCAGATCCCTTGAATGGACATCCAGCTGTCCTGAAAAGGCCTATGTAACCACTGCCAAGCATTTGGACCATAAATCTGTGTCCAACATACCAAAGCAGAACTAATAGGGCTGGCCTGGGAAATTCGACTTTATCTTAGAGAAATGGGAATACCCAGACTATGGAAGAGGAAATTGGTCCTGATGAGACATTAGTTCTTCTCTACCATAAACTAATGATCCACCAGAAAAAGTGGAAGATATCAATAAAAATGATAGTTTAAATTGATCCCATATTAAAATGATTCCAGTGGGTCTGAGACTCTGTGATGTGTTTATCTCTCAGTTTGTTTCAATGGACACTAGAAATAGATATATGTGGCCCCTGCCTGGGTCCTCACATTCAGTATTTGTTCCATAAACTAAGAGATATAATAGAGGCCTGAGCCTAAATTCTCCTTCCTGTAAAATATAAAAGCTGGGGCTGGCACTGTGGTGCAGCAGATTAAAGCCCTGACTTATAGTATTGGCAACCCATTTGGGCACTGGTTTGAGTCTCGACTGCTACACTCCAATTCCAGCTCCCTGCTATGGCTTGGGAAAGCAGTTTTTGGGGCCCTGTACCCATATGGGAGACCTAGGAGAAGCTCCTGGCTCCTGGCATTGTTTTAGCTCAGCTCTGGCTGTTGTGGCCATTTGAGGAGTGAACCAGCAGATAGAAGACCTCTCTCTCTTTCTGGCTCTACCTCTCTCTATAACTCTTTCAAATAAATAAAATAAATCTTTAAAAAAATAGAAAAGCCAAAGTGCTTCTTGGGAAATCATTCGCATATCTAATATTTGAACAATTCT